TCCCTTCATACTTAACAAAGTAAATCTGTATTGAATGAAATATAATTTAATGCAAAGATAGTTGTGTAGAAGTTCAATAGTGGATTTGTAGTGCCCGAGGTTTGCCGTAACCTTGACAGCCTTGAGTGGTGGCACGGTTTATTATATACACACTTAACTCATTAATTTGAAATTAACCAATACTTTAAATTTATGAAATTAATAAATTAAGGGGTTTTATGTTTTCGAATTGATTCTGTTCTATTGATTTTTTTTTCATTTTTAAATCGTTATCAACTAGATTGTTGGATTTGTCCTTACGTCTGAACGATGTGGATCTTGTCGCATTAATTATTTGTTATACAGTAAAGGTTAGGGTTGAACCAATGAACCGTCATAGTATAAAAAAAATAATAATAATAATATTTGAATATATAGAGAATGATTAACCAAAATTAACCATTTTATTAATTAAACATGAAATTATTTATTCATGTACCAATTAGTACGAATCCAATCCACGCAATCCGAGTTATCTCCCCTGGAACATGACATGGCGGCCGCTCACCTGTCAGTGTCACAGGTAATGTTCCCCCAAGGTCAGACATAAAGGTCAGATCGAGGTATCAACATGGCATTTTAATACCCCATTTGTTTGCGATACTTTTACAGACAATTCATACTAATACGTGTGTCATGTTTGTCTCATAAATAATATCAACAGTGTAGCTAAAAAGGAGGACCGGCAAAACACACGGTCGTGTATATAGCCTCGATCTTTATTCACGGTTAACAAATAAAAATGGCATGTAATAATGAAATTGTTATTTGTCATCAATTTGTACTTCTGTGTACTAATTTGAGTGTCATATTTTGTCCGTCATATAAATTACATATATGTATATGATAGCTCTTATGACGCAAATTGCCAGATTCGTCTATAACAGTATACCATTTACTTAGGATTGGTGAACTACAATCCGTTTTACGGTATTGCAGAAAAATAAACATGTTTCCAAATAAATTAGCATGTTATATTCATTTCACAGCTACTTTTTTTCCATTTTCAACACGATGGCATGTTACAAATTATTACACGATTTCTCTAATTTCCTATGCAATATGTTAATTGGTTGACGGTTTTCTTTTAGAAAATGGGATGTTGAATTAATTTTAGATACTGAGTTGTAAAGCTTTATAACTGGCACAGTAACAGAATACGTGTATATCACAATGCCTAAATTCATCAATTATCTACTAAATAAATCAATGAAATAAATCAATGAATTATACGGCTGTACAAAAACCAGCCCAGGCGAAAATGTTAATGAACAGGTCATCTCTATAACAGACGTGAGAGGTGTCCCAACACTTAAAGCAAGAACAGAAATTAATTGAACAAGATAAAACTTGTTTTCTCCCCAAAAGAAAAAATAAATCACTTTTTACACATACTAGTAACATCCTTTACAAAACAAGTTCTGTTTACTCCAATGTAACAGTCATTTATTGACCCATCAAAGAAACCGCTCAGTTTCCATCTTGTTATAAATAATTTACAATATGTATAATTAGATTTGAGTGTTGTTAGGTTTTCTATCAAGGGAGGTAATCTCGGGTGTGTTATCGTGTCCCGGTTCAATAGGTCCGACACCCTAAACCACCCGGAGCCACGCGACGGGTGATTCTATCTCTATCAGGTCAATTTGGCCGAATTATTCCTTATCATTGTACGGCCGGAGGTGTCATAGTTTTAACAAATAAGTGGTCAACAGTATTGTACGTTAGGTATAGACTAGAGACCAACCCTAATTAGCGAACAAAAAGTCGGGCTTTACGTCAGGGACCTCCAGCCCTATCATATGGCCGAGTAATTACGCAGATTTATGATGGAGATTGCGGTGGTTTAAAGAAAAATTAAAAGCACACAATTTTAAGAAAAATAACAAAACATTTATTTTAAAGTGTGCCTTGAAATGAAATTATTAAAAATATTGTAATGGTTTATGATTTTACTGTTGTTCTTATTTTTTTCATTAAGATGATTGCCCGAATAAAAATGTCATTTATATAACAATTAGTTTTAAATATGAATAGCTCTTTTTTGTCGGGGCAATGTCTTTACGTTTAATGTTATTATATGCAAAGTGTAAGTAGAAATGGATGGTGACAATACACTGTCATCCTTTCACCTCCTTTAATCAAATATGTATGTGAACATTAGGATACAAACTACTAACAACAGTTTGTGGTTTTAAATTGGTCTGTACTTTCAACGTGGAGGCCAGGTCATATCGGGGGACAAAACATTAAATAAACATAGAAATTCTTTCAAATCATTAAAAAAATAATTAATCAACTGATCGATTGTATAATGAACACAAAATGAAACTGCACTGAAGTAAATAATTTTTCCTTGTAATAAAACTCAGTCTTGTATTCCACTTTTTCGAAAAGGTCATTCGGAAAAGCTATTTGTGATAAAATTCTCATGAAATTATTGTTTAAACATTAGAGGTTTATCCCAGGAGATTTGAACTATTCCGTGTTGTGGTGAAAATACCTGACTAAGGTATTAGCGAACGGTAAACACGATCATTGAAACGTGTGTTTTTACAGAACCCGGGCATTTATCGGGGGACAAGATAGACAGCGACCTATGTCAATAAACAATCACGGAGTACATAGAACTCACGCCGCGCTAATAGCAGATTTGTCAGCAAGATTGTATACGGGTACTTTAATATCTAACTTACTAAGGCAATATTTCATATAAAGACGTACTTCTGAATAGTTTTACGATGTCAAATCTGTTTCATTTGAGTTTCTTGCCTGCAAATCTTACCGCCACAGACACGTAAAACTGTGTAATATTATACGTCTTTAGCTATTTCTATCTATGCATATTATAAGAAATTTTTATACTAATTAAAAAAACTTAAAACGTTATTCGAATTCAATTTCAAAACGTCACATTTCTCTCATTTCCTTCAATCAAACCTCAACCGTTTCTTTGAAAGCAAAAATAGAACAGGTTTCCTGACTTGGCCACATTAACTGCACTAGTGGATATTTTTTTCCAAATTTATATTAAAATTATAACTGATAAAGATCACGTGCGTATACACATACACATACGAAACAAGTATTTTTCACATTTGTTCTTAGTTTCTGTCTTTAAATATGCATGTGCAATTTTTCATCAATTCAACAAAATATAAACACATTTCCTCATTCGCATTGGCTGTTATCTAAATGCGTTGGTACCAGAAAGACGAACGATTTAATTTACGTTTATTTTTATTTACTAAAAATGTAAAAATGCACCACCTACAACAAATTGCTCTGAAGTCCGTAAACCTGTTGTATATATCTGTTTTTGTTCGGATCCATAGTCGAACCCTTGCCAAAGTACATTATTCACAATAGAGGCGACAAAATCCCATCAGCGTCTTTTTTAACGTGAATGGTATACATGCATTGAAACGCCCATTGTAAAAGATGAATTAAATCAACTATCCTATCTATTGAAACGAATGTTATAAAAACCAAATTAGATTAACTACAATAACACCCAGAGTTGTACAAGCTAAAGAAATAGACAGATTTCCACGATTCCTTTCCAGATGTATAGCCCGGAAACTTCTTCACGTGGGGATGTTAAATCTACGCTCATTTAGAGTTAAATAATACCGGTAAAGATCAAAGGGATGATGATGTTTGGTACCTGTGTTAGTCGTTTGATCCGGGCTTGTTTTATTACGGTTAGGTACGCTGATGATGACCTGTTATATTGTACCCTTGTATAACCGGTTACCGTTGTATATTTCATCATTTCGGTACAATTGTTTACCTGTATAATCCAAAGGTAACCTACCTGTAAATATCGCTAACCTTCTAAATGACAGGTGTAATAAAATTGTTACACGATCCTTTACATCTCACAGTTTTTCGATACACTACACAGCATGAAAACCCTGTTTTTCTAGGTGTAATAAATTTGATTTAAATGAAACAATGCAACAGAAAAAAACTAAGACTTCAAACAAGAACCGATTTTCAATAAGGCTAAAATTTTCTAAATGGCAGGTGGAGTAAATTTGTTACACAATGCCTTCCATCTCTCAATGTTTGAATACAAACACTAGTATTCAATTATATATTTGATTGGAACAATAAACTGAAGAAAATAATTTAAAAAATTCAAACAAGAACCGATTTCATTTGCCTTTCGATTAAGCTTAAGTGCATCAAAATATTGAAATAAAAGTAGATTGGTCATAGAATAAGATTGCATTTCTGATTGTTTTTTCATCCAAATTAAACAAATTAGTTAAAATATTTTCTAAACATTTGATATTCAAAATGTACTATATAATGATACAAGATTATATGAAATGCTAATTATTCAATATTTTATTCCTATTATAAAAATTGAAATAACTTGTTTCACTACTGTTGTAAAGTAATTATTTTCATATATTTATACATATATATATATAATATTTTATTCCTCTGGTATGTTTTCAACAAAACGATATAGTGATGTGAATTTTCTATTGAACAGAAACATGTCACTTTCTGATTTGGAATAATGTCTGAGTAAACCTTTGACAATTTAATTCTACAATAATACAATAATTGTATTCATAATAATCACTGGATGATAATTATACCGAAACAATATTGGCACGTTAATCCTAGTTAGTCCTATTATTAGATAAGTTCAGTGATACAATTATCAATGATGAGCAGTAGGCCACGCCTCCGGAGGCGTAATGATCTATCAACTATCCCTCGTACTGACCAATCAGAAGACGCCTAACCGCCGCGCTCCGCTAAGACCCGCCTCAAACGTCATAGAAAGATTATCTGTCGCCGATCAGAATAGTAATTTCTCAATCGGATTGTTTGTGATTTATTAAGTGCTATTGAAAGAAGCTATTATCCAGTCAATGAGGTTGTTAGACTCGTCACGGCTGATTACCCGCGGAAAGAGTGTTTAAAAGGCCGTCATCATATCTCAGACATCATAAACACTCGACTAGCTCAACACAGCAGCACACACAACTTCACCTTGACTTACACATGTCAAGACATCTTTATATGAATTTGATGTGACTGTATATTACCGGATCTTCATTGTGAACCATACTTTACGACAATACAAGCACTGGATATAACTGAGAACGTTTGTGGAAATACCTAATTTGGATTTCTATAATATCTGATATCTCGAAAAGAGACATTTTAGGATGGATGGTTCCTTGCCTAACTCTCCAAGCCTTTCCTCCAGTGATACGTCCAGTAACGAAGATGGACTTCGACCATTTCCAGATGAAAAAGATCTTGGAGAATTCAAGCTGAACAAACCGATGGACTATCCAGACTCTCCTCGGTCCCATTCCTCCGACAGCTCCGGCAGCGACCGAGGCACTCCGAACAGATTTTACAAAAACAAGATGAAAGGTAAATTTCATAATTATTTAAATTAATTTCATTAATTTGAATAATTTGCATTTTTTTTCTTCTTTATTGTAAGATTCCATCAAGATGCTTCAAATTCTAAATGCATAACATCTTGTCGAAGATGTCGCAAGCATCGTCAATTGATATACAAATTAAAAATGTATAATCAACACAACTTTTCTAATCGGATCATTTAAATCTGTTCCATGCGTTGTCACTAGACGATGAAATTAGACACACTTTTACTCTAAAAAGGAACCTTTTTAAGACGTTATTAATTACTGTTTTAATGAGCCCAGAACTAGCCTGGGGGTTTAGGTACTGGCAGCCTCTCCTTTAAGTAGGGCGACAGAACAATACAACCAAATCAGGATCAACATCATCAATTTAACAGTCTAGTGGTCCCTGATAGTCAGCCACATTCTAACAATATAGCTGCCATGTGATTAGTGTACCTTAAAATAACTTTTACCTTTCATTCATTTTTTATGAGTGTCAGTTTCTTTACAATTTTTACTCGAAGAACACGCTTATATAAAATAAATCTTAGAAGTAAATCCGAATAACTTAAAATGAAATTATAACCAGTGTAAGTTTATGCCAAATAATAATAATGTTTTCTTAGTTCTCTATAAATTAACAACTAGGTAGGAAACATAGGTATAAAGTCTATTAACAAATGTAATGTATCTGTTCAATTCCCAAATTTTGTTTGGAATAGTTTTATCTTGCACAAAGAATTTTGTAATGTGTATAAATTAAATCACTTTTGACAAGAACAAATAATTTCCTATTTACACGAACAAGTTTTACTTCAATGAGCATATCCTATTATTGATAGTGTTTTTCTATGGCCCTAACGGGTTAGGTCACACAACCCTGTCTTTAATCAGGATTGGGAATAAAGGTGTTATGTCTTCTAATGTTCTACATTGCTATTAGATTAAATCACCCATATAATTAAGTGGAAAGTATTTTCCCATTAAGGATGATATATTTTGACCTATAGTGTTCTTACCTAATGCTGCGTGAGCATTGTTAAAAATATAGAAACAGTTTAGCACGTTATAAAAAATTAGTGTCAAAATGAATTATTGGAATAAAAGTTTAATTTTCTGTAACACTCGTGCAGAATTATCCATTTATCGGGTTATTGTAATGGTTAGATTCCAAAATTCTCCTGGGTGAAATCAAGAACTTTCTTTGTGAAGACGAATACTCTGATTATGTCAGTTTACTTTTAATAGATATTATTACAAACATTGGTAAAAGCAGTCATATAGATGCAGATATCGTAACAATCGCATTTCAAAATATGAAAAATGAGTGTATGGCAGCAGTGATGTATGTAATTTTGGACAGTTACATGAACATGGTATGTTGAGATTGTAGTGTCAATTCGAACTACATGCCCGGCGTTGTGTAGTCCTATCAGCGCCCTGTCCGCGGGACATGGTCGCAACACGAAATCGGACATTCGGACACCGTCTCTGTCGTGTTCTCTATAAATCAGCTTCACTGGTCATCGATGACACTGACCAGTTTGTCATAAAAACACATTACGGTACTGGTCATTGTGAGATGACCATTAAAATGTTTGCCATCATATTATTGTATATCAATTAGCACAGCAAATTTGTAAGACCGATATTTCATACATATTGTAGATTTATTATTTGGATCTTGTTTGGTAAAATTAGGTGAAAAAGTATATATTTTAAATGTAAGGACAATTTTAGGACAAAGTATTTATTTGCAGTAAAATATTTCAATATTTTTGAGAAAAAAAAGGAAATTAAAATTCCATCTTCTTGCACAAATAATTCGTGTTCACTCAAAAAGTTACATTCACAAGTATTATGAAAGTCGGCTATCATCGGTGTTCAGTGAGAAATTCCCTCGGTTGTAAGAAGTCTTTTATATTTTAAATAGAATGCAGAATCCGTGAACAAATTATGTAAGGTCTACGGAGGATTTCAAATCATTGCATGATGTTTAACCAACATCAGGAATAATGTCTTCACAAGATTAACGTTTAATAATGTGAATTGGTGTTATTTCACAAATAAACTTTAGCGTGTTGAATAAGTTCTTTAAGCATAGTAAATGTAGCTGACGTTAGATTAAATGCGTCACAGCGTTTGTACTGTACAGAAAACATCCGGTAAGGTGGAAAATTACATATTTTCAGTAAACTCCTAAAAATACAGTAATGAACACGGTTTTAAAGGCTTCGATTTTATTTTAACGTTTCAAAGTTTAATGGGTTCTTTTGAAGTCGGGAAAACTTTCGTTTTAGACTCACCCATACAGAAACACGGTTGCTTTCATCTTTGCGCGCTCGTAACGACTTCATTGAAGCTGATCAGCTAAGATGCTATATGTTAAATGTGCTATGAAAGGGTGGGTAGTAAAAGTCGTATTCACAAGTAAATAGACTCTAGAGGTAGCGATTTTATTAAGAATCCCCTGTTTGATGTACAGGTAGATCTGGTCAACGCAAACAGGAAAATAGAGCTATAAATTCGACGGGTAATCACTGAATTTTGTACACTAATACATTTAATTGAATGGATTCAAGTTTTGATCTGACGGAAAAGTACATTTTAAAAGATTCGGTAGAAAACCGGTTAACGGTATCAGGAGAGTGATCAACTCTGTATACAAACACATAGATAGACCAAACGAAAATCTAGCGCCTACCTGTTCAGGATCAAAGGCACCGCCGCACCTAATCTTACAAGCTTGTCTAATTTTACCGCGCATTTAATTATCGTCCTTCGGTCAATTGGCCAGTTAGGTTTCTTCCCATTGTCCGAGTCTCGTTTTTACTGTCCATTTCGGCACTAGGGGTACTAACATTTGACCGCTACACTGACCAGACAAACAGGTTCGAATTCTCTATTCATTGCCAAAAAATCGATTTCGTTCTTTTTCACCGCAGGGAGTTTGTATACGTGTTAGGGTATCTTGAATAGAATTAACAGGACTTGTGATGTTTGTATTTAGACCCGTAATGAAAGTCAAACTAAGTCCCAATAGGGGGCTAATTCACGAATTATCATACTTATGGACGTAGCTAAATTGGAATGGCTCTCTATACAACGTAAACATTTTTATTTAGATTCAATTTGGAAGAAAACCTGTTTTTCTTTGCTATTCTAAGCTAATTTTCTAGTATAAAGCTCCCATTCTTCTGATCAGAATTTAAAAGAAAATATTTAGCTCAACCGACAAATTGGAATTAAAATCGATTATTGTTAGAATAGGTGTTTTTCTTGTGTTCGATTCCGAACAGATCTAGCCACATTTATTCCAACCACTAGTCCGACAAGGTCAACACCTAAAGCAGAGCCAATGATATCGTTCACATTATTATGTGCAAATGAAACAAAACTGCATATAATGCAAATACATTTCTTTATACAACATGTTTAATTTGCGATTTTTCCGCGACTTGAAATATATTCAGATTTACTCAATTGCTATGATGGGGAAGGCAAACAGATTTATTATATTTGAATATAAATAACTTCTTGTTTTGATGTACTGATTTATTGGTTATAGAAGTAATATGGTTGTGCTTTAGGTAAAATCAAATATTGGCCGGTAACTATTAGTAAACGTTAGCCCTTTGTAATTGTTTGCAGTGTTAATTGCCCCATCACAAACTCTCAAATCAATTTGTCACTCCGCGCCGGGTAAATAGTTCGACCTGTTTCTGCAAGGTGAAGCTTAAGGTTTATTGGGACACAATATCAACATTGTCTGGGAATAATTGATATGGGAATATTTTGATATGATAAAGTAATTAGAGGATCAAAGAGACCGAAAATAATTTCAATTATCCGGCCGCTTGAGTTACGTAAGCAGTAGATCACGATTTTAATCAGAACTCTTCAAACCTTGGAGGTAAAAATGCCCATAGCTGACAGCTTCCTTAAATGACTTTTCTAGACTGCAGTTCAAATATTGCTAGTAGGTAGGAACTGACGGATGTAGGATAAAAATTATACAAATAATTACGCGCCAAATGATCGACCCTTTTTTTACGACAGGAAAGAATAAATCTGGTCCTAGCCCGATACATTATCTGATAATAAATGTATATAATTGAAACTTTTCATACCTGAATCAATTGTTCCTCATTTGAATAAAAGTAACGGAACACTGACTACTTGAAATTTATTGTTTGAACTTTTAGAAATCTATGATCTCGCGATCCAAATTTCAGCTAAGGACGCCATGGATCATACGAAACAGCTCAATTTGTCGAATAATCATAGCTGTGTCGTTTTCACGCCTGCGTGGTCAAATAGACATATACCATGGTTACACGAGAGCCACTTTTGGGAACAGTCATAACCGATTTTTGTATTAAAGGTAGTCAGAACTGAACTAGCTTCAAAGAAAATGACAAAACAGTGTACCTATTGACCTTTTGTAAGAAGGCGGAGCCTCGAACAAAAAAAAAGATATTTAAGATTTTCTTAAATTAAAACAAGTTGACGTCGAGCACCTGCCCTCAAATGTGGCAATGAAAGTCGAAATGTCGATGTTCGATGATAAAATTCGATTAAGATCTTCTCCATCTTCAAACGACACTGACCATATGAACTGGTCAATAAAATAGCGTTTTAAATAGTGACCAATAAGGTATCCCGTGTGGCAAACGTACTTAATGAATACTTTACATCTGACCATTCAGGTTGAGCAGGAGCAGGGACATAAAATGACCAATAAGATTCGGGGTAGTTAACCTGTACTTGTCTGATCAACCCTTTATGTCAGGCGTAGGCTCATTAGCATGTCTTAAATATTGACACCAATGTTCCATAGAGAACACGCGAATCACGACAATTTCTGTCGACACTAAAAGTTGGGTCGTGTTTCTCATTGTAATGTTATGTGCTACCTGACATTTATTGTGTTTCAGTGTAAATGCTATTCTGTCATTTAACACAACCACCTAAAAAGTAAACAATTGACATCAAGGTACAGATGTTCTGTAATGTCATTCTTTACAGCCTTTTGTGGTTTTATTTTATATCAAATTTGTGTTTGACATGTGTGGCTATAACTCCTACTTAATTGTTATTTTAATTCTGTAATTCCAGAAACTGCCCAAGAACGTGAAATCCGCCGATACCGAACAGCTTTCACCAAAGACCAGCTCAACCGCTTGGAGAAAGAGTTCTTGAAGGAAAACTATGTATCCCGCCCTAAGAGGTGCGAACTGGCAGCATCCCTGGGACTTTCTGAATCCACTATTAAGGTAATTACACGAACACACTAGCGCAGATACATTAATATTTTATAAACAAATATGTAAAAAGTTAAGTTCAGAATTGAAATTTATCTTTGTAAGAAATAATTGAGGCAATGGTTTTATGAAAAAAGACAATGCTTTAATACTTTTTACTTTTCCACATTTACAGGTTTGGTTCCAAAACCGACGTATGAAGGACAAACGCCAACGAATGGCACTCACCTGGCCCTACGGTATTCCCCCAGATCCTCAGCTGTATGCCTACCTTGCAGCCGCCGCCGCTTCATACCCGTACAATCTCCAACACCCAGCCGCACTTCCGTATCCAAGCATGGGTCTCCCTCATGGACTCCAGCCCTCAACAAGTTCAGCCTTCACCCCAATGGCTGTATCAAGTCCACTTCCGCCCAGACTCGACGTTTTATCTTCCATGCCAAGTCCTCTCTACAGACCGATTCCAAGTCTAGACACTAGTCCGTCCTTCAGCACATCGCCACCAAGCCTTCATTTCCCACCCAGAATGCATTTTCCTTGGATGGAGCATTCTCCCAGCATATGTAATGCGAATTCAGGAAAACCGTGTACGTGTCCGGCTCCTTCTTTCGGACTTTATCCCCCACCAGCACCAGGGCTGTTGTCCACCTCCCTCAGTTCGTCACATCCCCTGTTACATAAACGGGAAATGGAGAGTTCGTCGCGGTGATAAACAAACAAACTTTGTGTGTATGCTGAGATAAAAGAGACTATATATGAATGTTGATGTGATTGTTATATAAACATATGACACAGAGAGTGTGCTTGATACGTTTTGGAGAAGAAAGTAATAATTATAAATATGATGAGTGTTTGAATTAAGTATAAGTGGAATTTAAAATGTTGTTTAAAGAATAGTGCATATGTTTAAAGAAGACTTAGTGGCCATTTCTATCTGTTCATAATGGCTTACTTTTTGACAGGATGACTTCATGCACCCCATGTCGTCACATTGTCTATAGAGACAGTCGCTGTATTCAGGGTAAAGTAAATCCATGTATATAATGATAAACTTACAGAGCTGCACAGGCTCTGTCAATTGCAGTGAGACACAAATATGTACATATCTTAAAACAAAATGTATTTATGTACTACCCTGTTGTTTTGTTATATATATATTTGAAACAGAAAATATGAAAATGAAAAATAAAACAAAATGAATCTTAAACTTTCTGTCAAGTTGTTTTTGTTATGATGGGACGCAGTGTCATGGGATTTGGACACGACTGTAGGTCAGATCGTGAGGGACCATGGACACAACTGTAGGTCAGATCGCGAGGGGCCTCAGTTACAATAGAACTACATTGTTAACAAAGTATAACTTAACACCGCAATTACACGTGATACTGACTCATGCATATGCATTTTTTATATCCTACATAGAATATTGTCTACATGGTATATTATACATCAGAAACTGCCAATTACGAGAGCTAGGTGCCGGATCTTCAAATGGTAAATATATCGCCCACATTTTGCATTTTGGAATTGAAAATAACTTTGAGACAAAATTAAGATAATTATTTGATCAGCATCTTGAATTTGAGTTGTGAAAACTATGTGTTATTTTTGATTCAATAACTGATGCATACACTCTTATAAAATCCACCGAAATGATTCGTATATCGGAGAACAAGTTAAATCTAGCTTTACTGAAACATTGATCAACTTCTGAGCGTCAAATCTCGGTCGCATAACATACTTTCGTTTTACTATTTTCTGGATTTATCATTGTCATTGGGGATGTGAGCATGGTAATAACAGTCTTTCCTCTCATTTATTCGAGAAAAATACATTTAACAGTGTTGTACCTTTGGGAATTAGCTATTTTTCTGTAGTAGAATTTACTAGTAGTAACGTACATTTTGTGATAATTACTTTACACATCAGTAAAAGACATCCAATATATTCGTCATGAGTCTACAGAGTGTAGCACCTCTACTTTGGGATATGGAGTGTAGCACCTCTACTTTGGGATGTGGAGTGTAGCACCTCTACTTTGGGATGTCGAGTGTAGCACCTCTACTTTGGGATGTCGAGTGTAGCACCTCTACTTTGGGATGTGGAGTATAGCACCTCTACTTTGGGATGTGGAGTGTAGAACCTCTACTTTGGGATGTGGAGTGTAGCACCTCTACTTTGGGATGTGGTCTAGTGATATTTTGTTGTAAAAAGTGTTATATATGAATGGCTAGATGACGATTCTTGGACATGGTAACTTTAGGATTGTGACAGATATACATATTTGATGGAGGGAGCAAGTACATTGACAACGACATTTAGAATTACAAAGGAATGATCAAAATTCATAAGAAGCAACATTGAAATTAATCAAGGATATAAGTTTGCTTTACAAACTGTGATGAATCTGAAATCTACAATATATGAAATGTATAATATAGGGCTATACTTATATAAAAAAAAAAATGTTCTTAAAATCTGTGTATTTTGTGTTCAACTTTAAAATTGTCCGATTTCTTCGAATCCGATAGAGGATGACATGAATGATAAAACGTCTTTCCTGATTATTGATTATATAGTTACAATACCTCCCTAACTCAAACGTCAGAGTAATATATATAAGATGATCTATAGTAGCCATTTTTGTTGTTGTGGTTTGTAGTGTGTTACGTTCAACCTGGAGTATATATGACATAAAATAGAATTCTGTTCCTGAAATAAAATTTATGTATAATTATACCGAAGACAACCACTGTTGATCAGGGTTTTATAATTACAAACAGAAATATTTTCTCCCTATCCAGGAACGCCACTTAAATCATAGAAATCGTAGAAATGATTGGGTGACTCAAATGATGCAAAAGAAATGAATTGCAGGTAATTTCAATTCTAAGATGAATTTTCTTCTAAATAGGTAAATAAATAAATCTGTATACTTTAAACATAATTTTCTCCTTTTCGTAGAGTTTGTAACAATTATGAATATTAAACAGATGCGGTAGATAATGATAAGAAATCTGGCTCAGAGCTTAAACTGCAATATTACACAAGTTCAATGTACATTCACAACCACCATTTATGGCATACTAAGATATATGATCCCTCTGGTGTACCTTCCCATTTCTTGCTAGCCAGTGAGGTATTGGATAATATGAAAATAAAAAGACTGATATTTTCACACGAAGATAGATATCAAAAGCGATACTGTCACTGTGTGAAAAGATTACTTTAGTTATTGGCCAATCATTGCAATATAACGCCAAAGATTACTCTCTTTATCTTTTGACAAACCATCATTTTCTTCTTTTAAAATGTGTATTGGTTTCGCACTGGTCGTTTTGTCGTATTATACTCGTGAAATTTATAATGTAATCAACGGGGAATCATTAAATATCCTCCACATTCTGTCTCATGAATCGAATCTTACCTTGATAATGATGTATTTTTTATTAAATAGACCTTCACTTTGTAAGTTATTTTTATATTTTATTGTTTAAGATAGCGTCCAAAAGATAGGGTAGTCGCGTTTAACTGAAAGCAGAAAATGCGATTTGATCATACGAAAGAATAGGGTTACTTCGGTGTACTACATGTGTTCTTATGTCTGCCAAAAAGTAACTGGCCGCTGCAAGTAAACATTTATGATGAATTATTGGGGAATTGACAATGAAGTTAAACACAAAAACATGTATCCGTTTATAATTCATCTGAATTGATATAGCGTATTAGTTCAGTTCTCATTATTCGTGTCGAATAATTTGTAAAACCGTTTCCATCGAGTATTTATGTTTTCTGAGGTCACGTAACGTTTTATGTCCGGTAAAATATAGTCACGTTTTATTGTCAAAGTAGTGGACACGTACGTCCTTCACCTAGGATCGCTGAAAATGACCACGTGTGTTTACTAAACATTATTTATTCATAGATGATTCGTTTATATAGCTTGTTTTTAACTCTCACTCACTCTCATCTACAGATATATATATATCTAGCATGTATATCTATGAATTATTATGATGTTTCGTGACTATTCATTACTGACTATAAAAAACAAAACAAAAGAAAATTCAAATATCACAAGACTATTCATTGCTGACAAGGAAAGCACAAGATAATTCAAATATTGTATATATCATTTATCTCAAAACAGTTAAAAGACATTTAAACAAAGGAACCGACTCAATCTAACATGCTTACCATGAAATTGCTAATTATCAAGTCATGCTTAAAACGAAGTCAAATGTAGGTCACATCACGAGGATTTATCTACTTGGCAACCAAATCGATCACGAATTTTATGGGAGGACGAGGTTTTGTCAAGGCCTTTAAGTTTCTTCATTCGTGAACTCATAGTCTAACTAAATATATGCTAAAATGAACACTGATAATTACCGTTGTCAGCATTACCAAAATGGAGTGTTGTTGAATGATCCAAACTGTCTATAGCTAGCTGTTTAGAAAGACTGTTCAGAAAGACGATATTGCACCAGAGATACGGCGGTTATTTATGGACGTTTATCGTCAGAATCACAAAAAGATAAAGTGGGTTATTTTATAATGTTTAAAATAATTAAAAAGGAAATATGGAACAAAAAATTGTAAATTATATGAACAGGATTGTGACATCCAAGGTCCTCTGGAGTGACGTTCAAGGCCAACATGAGTGACGTTCAAGGCAAACAGGAGTGAAGTTCAAGGCCAACAAGAGGGAACAAAAAATTGTAAATTATATGAACAGGAGTGTGACATTCAATGTCCTCTGAAGTAACGTTCAAGGCCAACATGAGTGACGTTCAAGGCAAACAGGAGTGAAGTTCAAGGCCAACAAGAGTGAAGTTAAATGTCATTAGGAGTGACGTCCATGGCCAGCAAAAGTGACATTCAAAGCCAATAGGAGTGACGTTCAAGGCCAACAACAGTGAGGTTCAAGGCCATCTAGAGTAACGTTCAAGGTAAAACTGAGTGACATTCAAAGCCAATAGGAGTGACGTTCAAGGCCATCTGGAGTGGCGTTCAAGGCAAACATAAGAGACGTTCAAGGCCAACAAGAGTGACGTTAAAGGTCCACAGGAGAGACGTTCTAGGCCAATAGCAGTGGTGTTCAAGGTCAAGGCCAACAAGAATGACGTTAAAGGTCCACAGGAAAGACGTTCTACGCCAATAGCAGTGGTGTTCAAGGTCAAGGCCAACAAGAGTGACGTTAAAGGTCCACAGGAGTGACGTTCTAGGCCAATAGCAGTGGTGTTCAAGGTCAAGGCCAACAATAATGACGTTTATGTCCAACAGAAATGATGTTCAAGGTCAAGGCCAAGATGAGTGACGTGCAAGGCTCACATGAGTGACGTTCAAAGTTAACAGTGACATCCAATAGTTCTGATAGTTGGGGGGTATTTCGGTGTTCAACCGGTTCTGATTGTTAGGGATGATTTTGGTGATACATCGGCTTACACGCATATATCGATTTGCGTACGTGACCCGGTAGAAAAATACTTTCTAAATACATATGTTTTTTTTCTTCTAAAGAAAGTGTTTGCGAAATCAGTCGTGCAGTCAGGCTCCATTGGATCGTTACGGTAGAGTTATCTTATACATTGTCATCCTGCACATCGCAATAAACACACTCATTAGTCAAGTATCTATTACTTATTGCGTGTCAAGAAAAGAAAAAATTTTGATTATCATCTAACAACTGTGAGAAATTGTTACTAATATTTTCTAAGAGGCAATTTATAGGTAAATTAAATATGAATTTATGTACCAAGAGTATTGGAATCATACCAATGTTGGCAAGCATCCATTACATGTTTTTTCGTATATTCAGCAATCTTAAGTTCATCTACGTTATCGTCGTTCAACCCTGTTTTTCCTATGATGAAATGACAAATGTTTCATAGGTAAGATGCAATAACACATAAGAAATTCAAGTTTTATATTTTCTTAATAAAAGAAATACTTTGTAGTATTTTTGTGGTTTCTCGCACTTATTTCAGTTTTTTAAATTCTTTCGTGACCTCAGTCAATATAGACGCTCAAATTATAATGAACCTCTAATTCATTTTCCTTCATATTAAGTGTGATTGTTACAGTTTTCGAGAAAAGAAAATCAAAACGTCTAAACCATGATGCAAAACAAAGTATAAACACACATTATTTCATTAAGATCAAA